GTGTGTGTGTGTGTGTGTGTGTGTGTGTGTGTGGTGTGGTGCGCGCGCGCGCAACTTCTAAGAAAGTGTCATTTTTCATTTTAAATTGGTAAATTTAAATTAATAAAAAAATAAATTTTATGAATATCGGGCAGATATTAAAATTAATATTTCAAGTAAATGAAATCTGTAACAGCTGTCGTTCGACAAACTTTCTCTTTATTATAATTGATATACAGAATAACCTTAGTAACAGTCAAGGTTGAATTTTAATTGGTAATGAATCATTTAATTTTCAGTTGAAAGAATTTTAACATTAAGTCTCTCGTTCATGGTTTCAGCTTACTGCTATCACCTTTAATTAACAAGAAAATAACAATTTACGCGATGGAGTCATTAATGAGAGTGTCATCGCTAAACGTCAAGAGATCGGCAAAAACGCTAATATTGTCTCGTTCTCAGGTAATATAATTATTAATATTTATTATAATATTATATTTATTAATATTTATTGCATAAAATAATTATATATATACTAAGTCACATATATAAAGTTTAAAGTTTTTAAAATAATCTGTATATTTAATTCATTTACATATAATCAATTTTTTATTACTGAAATATTTGACAGAAAATTTAAAAATATTTTAGAAATCGCTAAGATTATTTTAAATATTTCTTTTAGTATATTAAGTGTCACAGGACACTTACCTCTCAACAAATATTTGATCGCGAATCTAAATATGGTGCTCACAATTATGATCCACTTCCCGTGGCTCTCTGTAGAGCTCAGGGTGTTTTTATGTGGGATGTCGAGGGAAAACGATACTTTGACTTTCTAAGTGCCTATTCGGCAGTTAATCAAGGTCATTGTCATCCTAGAATCTACAAAGTGATGATCGAGCAGGCGAAGATTTTAACTTTAACATCCAGAGCATTTTACTCCAATGTTTTGGGTGAATTCGAAGAATATATTACGAAACTTTTCAGGTACAAACTGTTTTTAAGTGTTTCCAAATTTATATCGATAAGATTAAACGAAGACGTAACAAGATAGACGTAAAGGATAAGATCAAAGAAAGCAGAAGATAAATGTATATACGGTGTCATGTAATTGCATATGTAATATTTTGCGCTTATTATAATTAACGAATAAAAAAATGCTCTTTTTGTAAATGCTGATATCACGTCCATTCATTCTTGAAAAATTTCATTCTTTCAGATATAACAAATGGTTGCCGATGAACACTGGCGTGGAAGGTGGCGAAACAGCGTGCAAATTGGCACGCAGATGGGGATACACGTGCAAGGGTATACCGCACTATCAGGCTAAAATAATATTTGCGAGAGGCAATTTTTGGGGAAGAACTATGAGCGCTATTTCTTCGAGTATCGATCCCACCAGTTACTACGGTTTCGGACCGTTTATGCCGGGCTTCGAACTCGTACCCTACGACGATCTCCCAGCGCTTGAACAGGCTCTCGCCGATCCGAATGTCTGCGCCTTTATGGTGGAACCCATTCAAGGTGAAGCTGGCGTCGTGGTGCCCAAGGTAAAATTTCACATGCAAATGTTTAAATATGAAGAAATAAGTCATTCTCGACATCTTTATCTCTAAAATTATTTTTGTTTATTCTATTTTTTTTTTCAAAGGACGGATATCTGAAAGGAGTTCGGGAGCTTTGCACGAAGCACAATGTTTTGTGGATTGCGGATGAGATACAGACTGGCCTGGGCAGAACGGGAAAACGGCTCGCTGTGGATTATGAAAATGTAAAGCCAGATATTTTGATCCTCGGTAAAGCTCTGTCCGGAGGATTCTATCCCGTTTCCGGCGTGCTGGCGAACGATCCCATCATGCTTACGATCAAACCTGGCGAGCACGGATCTACTTATGGCGGCAATCCTTTGGGATGTAGAGTCGCCCTTGAAGCGCTTCACATTCTGGAGGAAGAGAAACTCGCTGAGAATGCGGAGAAACTCGGTCACATATTAAGAGACAAGCTTAGAAAGTTGCCAAAGGAGATAGTCACTCTAGTGAGAGGAAAAGGCCTTTTGAATGCCATTGTTATTAACAAAAAAATCGATACCAAAGATATATGTTTGAAGCTAAAGGAACGCGGGCTCCTGACGAAACCGACACAGAAATATATCATTCGTTTGACACCGCCGTTAATTATCACGGAGGAGCAAATACGCGAATGT